CATCCATCCATCCATCCATCCATCCATCCATCCATCCATCCATCCATCCATTTTCCTTCACCCTTATCACTGCTGGGCCCGCAAGGGGTGCTGGTGCCTATGTCCAGCTGTCAATGATGAGAGGCAGGGTACACCCTGGACAGGTCACCAGTCTATAACAGGGCAACACTGAGACAAACCGGACAAACAACCATTCCCACTCACACCTAAGGAGAATTTTAGAGAAGCCAGTTAACCCAACAGTCCTGTTCTTGGGCTGTGGGAGGAAACCAGAGTACCTGGAGAGAACCCACAAATGCACAGGGAGAACATGGAAACTCCATGCAGAAATACCCTGGTCCGGGAATCAAACCCAGAACCTTCTTGCTGCAAGGCATCAGTGCCACTCATTGAACCACTGTCACCCCGCAAATGTTAAAGGAAGCCCCCAAAAGGGTTTTACCTCTGTTCATGTATAAGAGCTTGCCAAACTACAGCATGCAGTTGCTATTCACATAACTACCTGTCTGTAAACTACTTTGTTCTTATTGTTTATTGCTCTGTCTTAAATTCTCTATTTGAATGGCAAAGCTATATGCCTTCCAATTTGACTTTGTTTCTTTTGCTCTTAATTGCTATTTTATTTTGTGTTGTATTTTATGTTACATTGTTTGCAGTGATGTAGATGGTACTGTGAAAGAACATTTCCTCCTCTGGGATAGTTTTTTTTTTTATTCAGAGCTTTTTTTATTTTTAAAGAATAGGAGTTTTAATTAAACAGACTCCTGTAACTCACAAGATTTTGTCCTCTTTAGATTGGGTTACATTTTATACTATACCCCTTAAAAAATATATCAAATAAGTTCCGTAATTCTACAACTATGCTATAAATACATTATTCTTGTCAATAATAAAAGTGTATCTTTACGTCATCCTATTTACAGTCCTAGACATTAGACTAGTATGATTTGATTGACCTGAAGTCCTGTAAAAGTGGACTTTGCCTCTTATTTAATAAAAAGATATACTTAAAAAAAAATTTTTTAGCTAAAAATTCACATTAAATTAGTCTATTCATATATTTCTTGTTTATAGCAAATTCCATCTTGGTTAATTTTGTTGAATCTATGTACAAGACACATCTTTAATTTAACAAATATTAATAATTGTTATATATGTATACCATATATGTATATGCCCTAAGATTAACTCCTGCTATGTTTGTGATCATTTGTTTTTCAAACAAACATTAGTGCTCAAGATGACTTTACAGCTGTGGTTATCGTAGCTGTGAGAAATACACAACTGCCTGTACTACATAAAGATTGATCAGTAATAACTTCTGATTCTAGTTTTTCTCTGTCTAGTTTTTACATTAAAAGTTGTTTAAAAACTGTTTTATTACAGGTCAGTTTAAGAGGAAAATATAACGTGTTTTGTATAATGTTTATCTGTTAGATAATTTTCTTTGGCAGGTACAGATATATATTGCGCATATAATCAGAAACTGCACAAAAACTAATTAGGCTTTTAAGGAAAACTTCCATCAAAGTAATAACTGCATTTGGTTCTATTTATTTGGATTCGACTAAAAACCCAACATCAAACATTAAAATAGACAGGTGTTCCTTATGTAAACCATGACCACTTAAGACAAGAAAGCATCTGAAGCTGAGGAGCCTTATGTTGACAAGCCCAGCTTTGAGGACAGAAAAGCCATTGAACAAAGGCTCAGATTAGCAGTAATCCTCTGTGTGGATTGTGGAGAAACGTCTCCGATCTCTTGTCTATCACTCTCCTTCCTCATATAGTCAGCTGGGTATAATGAAGATAAAAATGCATATGGATTAACAATTTTCTGTATATATATGTATTTATGTATGTTTATTTATATATATATATATATATATATATATATAGATATATATATATATACATATATATATATGTATATATATATGTGTGTGTGTATGTGTGTGTGTGTGTGTATGTATATATATGTAAGCCTTCTTTGTGGTCATATTATAATATGATCAATTTTCAGCACTAAAACTTCAAAGGAATGATTACAACTCAAACAGCCTTTAAAGTATAAATAACACATTTTTTTATTTAGTCGACATTTTTGTTTGTTTTTAAACTATCTTGTATATGTGACTCTAAGACCAGTTACACAGCACACTGAACAAACATCATGAGGAAGTTGGCATTTGAAACATGAATAATCATAACTATATAAATGCCTGAAACTACAAAACATTTTAAAGAAAGGGGGAAAAAAGCTCTGTATTGTTCTGCATCAGTTAATTTTCAATTACATCAGCCGAAGCGGAACGAAATTGTTAGTGTCATTTATCGACTGTGGTGCCCTCTATTAGAGTAACAACTGAGAAATCCATCCTGTTGTAGAAACCACCTGGCTTACAATAACAAAGAGTTCGTTTCTGTCTGATGTCTATAAGTGTTTTACAAGGAACAGATGAGAAGCAGAGATCACATGAGTGCACACAGGGACCGATCACATCTAACTGGGCAGGTAATCATCCCGAGGACTTTTCTTCCGAAAGTTCCATGAAGCTGTTTCCTTAGAAGACAAACCGAGAGGTAATTGGTGTCCAGATCGATTATTTTTAATGACTCTTCAGCCTGAAATGTCCCTCCAGACCACTGAAATTGTTTAAGATGTTTGGAGGGGACATTTTATCAAAATTGTTGCCGGTTTCTTATTAAATGCCACACTTCTTTACTGAGACACCTTGTATGCAGTTTTGTATTGCTTTGAATCAGATTTAGCATATTTTTAGTTAATTAAAATGGACACCTTCAAAGTATGGATTATATAGGGCAAGGGGTCTTCAACGTTTTCCAGGCCAAGGACACCAAAACTGATGGCGAGATGGACCAGGGACCCCCTAATTATATATATTGTATGAAATTGTGTTATATCAAACTGTTCTTATAGTCATTCTATTACAGATGGAGTAATTTAAGGAAAGTAATTTGCGCCCTGGGATTATTAAAGTATTTCTGATTCTGATTCCTCATTGATGGGACAGGTGTTGTGAATGAAACGGTGCCCAGCTTGTAAGAGCTCCTGTGTGTCGCTGAATGTGTGCATTGATGACTGAAAGACATCTTCTACCTCCATTTATCTGTGTACTACAGTGTGTTTCATTTCAATTTGTGGAAAAATTGCAGGGGGAACATAATTAAAAGTATATTTAACCAAAACTTTTCACCGTATCACTCAGTCCATTATATAAAAAAATGAAAATGCGCACACTTTTTACTAAATTATTTAAGATACACTATATTGCCAAAAGTATTTGCTCACCCATCCAAATTATTGGAATCAGGTGTTCCAATCACTTCCATGGCCACAGGTGTATAAATTCAAGCACCTAGGCATGCAGACTGTTTTTACAAACATTTGTGAAAGAATGGGTCGCTCTCAGGAGCTCAGTGAATTCCAGCGTGGAACTGTGATAGGATGCCACCTGTGCAACAAATCCAGTCGTGAAATTTCCTCGCTCCTAAATATTCCACAGTCAACTGTCAGCTGTATTATAAGAAAATGGAAGTGTTTGGGAACGACAGCAACTCAGCCACGAAGTGGTAGGCCACGTAAACTGACGGAGCGGGGTCAGCGGATGCTGACGCGCATAGTGCGAAGAGGTCGCCAACTTTCTGCAGAGTCAATCACTACAGACCTCCAAACTTCATGTGGCCTTCAGATTAGCTCAAGAACAGTGCGCGGAGAGCTTCATGGAATGGGTTTCCATGGTCGAGCAGCTGCATCCAAGCCATACATCACCAAGTGCAATGCAAAGCGTCGGATGCGGTGGTGTAAAGCACGCCGCCACTGGACTCTAGAGCAGTGGAGACGCGTTCTCTGGAGTGACGAATCGCGCTTCTCCATCTGGCAATCTGATGGACGGGTCTGGGTTTGGCGGTTGCCAGGAGAACGGTACTTGTCTGACTGCATTGTGCCAAGTGTAAAGTTTGGTGGAGGGGGGATTATGGTGTGGGGTTGTTTTTCAGGAGCTGGGCTTGGCCCCTTAGTTCCAGTGAAAGGAACTCTGAATGCTTCAGCATACCAAGACATTTTGGACAATTCCATGCTCCCAACTTTGTGGGAACAGTTTGGAGCTGGCCCCTTCCTCTTCCAACATGACTGTGCACCAGTGCACAAAGCAAGGTCCATAAAGACATGGATGACAGAGTCTGGTGTGGATGAACTTGACTGGCCTGCACAGAGTCCTGACCTCAACCCGATAGAACACCTTTGGGATGAATTAGAGCGGAGACTGAGAGCCAGGCCTTCTCGTCCAACATCAGTGTGCAACCTCACAAATGCGCTTCTGGAAGAATGGTCAAAAATTCCCATAAACACACTCCTAAACCTTGTGGACAGCCGTCCCAGAAGAGTTGAAGCTGTTCTAGCTGCAAAGGGTGGACCGATGTCATATTGAACCCTATGGATTAGGAACGGGATGTCACTTAAGCTCATATGTGAGTCAAGGCAGGTGAGCAAATACTTTTGGCAATATAGTGTATATACTAAATCTCACTTATCATCTTATGATATGATAAGAACAGACAGATTAAACACAATTTAAAATATATTTTACCTCACCAATCATCTTATGATTTAATTTGATAAAAAACAGACAGATAAATGGATCATTTGATTTTTTTTTAAATGGAAAATGTAATAATCCACTTGTTTTTTGGAGCTGGTTTGTGATATGAAAATCTCATTGCAAAAACATAAAAAGACAATTAAATCTTCCCTTTTTTATTTATTTTTTTTATGCACATGAAACAGTTTTTGAAATAGTAGCATTCCTTATATTCCATATGGTCCAATACTCAGATTTGAGTCCAGCATGCAGTGTTTAAGAATTAAAACTGTAGAAATACATTTGACACTATACAAATCTAAACATAAAGTAGACCAGGTTAAAGCGATTTCTACTAGTTTTGCCTTGATGATACACTGCTGATGTGGACCAGTCAAGAGTAGCCGAGCGCAGAAACAATCCCCCAACCCCCCCATGAGTATATTTTTTTAATACTTTGTGGGGGAAAAACTGTCAACCATATCCAAAGTGCAGGACCAAAGACATCTAAATAATGTATGCTTTTGTTAGATTTTTTGAAGACGACATGTGCTACGCATTACCCGTTTCAGCCATCGAAGATTTCAGACCTCTGCAAAGAACTGATTTTGATCATCAGAAGGTGTATCTGGTTCACAGAGCTGGAGAGAATGGCTGCGCAGGCCAGCCGTGCGAAGCACAGATCCTTGCCCTTGCAGGTAAGCTACTCGTCTTAAAACGCGGAAAACACCACTTTAAACTATAATATCATCCGCCGGAAAGGCGACCGTTCCTGTGCGTGTAGCATAGAGGAGCTGTCAACGCGGGTGTTTTCGGTGGATCCGTCAGACGTGATCAGCTGGAATCTGACAGCAACGTCCTCCGCTAGCAATGCTAGCAATGTTTGCTAACTTTAGGTTACTGATGTAGCTTGTAGGTGCTTCATGTTTTTTTTATATTTATTAGTGCAGCCTCTCATTCTGATAATATCTCGACATCAATCAGCCATGGGGAGTTTGTGGTTTATACGCGTTGCCTTTATCAATGACGAGCAAACGTGATTGTTTACACCTAGAAGCTAACGATGCTAGCTGACGTTAGCATGCTAACGACGAGACGCATACAAAGTGGATATAGGATTGTCATCATGTCAACAGTGAATTCTTTTATTTGTTATTTAGAAGAGCCGCGGTGTATTATTGCAGCTTTAGCCTGAGAGCATTTATAAGCCGGTTAGCCAGTTAGCTTCTGTGTAGCTTTGGGCTACATTTGCGATGTTGCAGCCATTTCCGTGTCAGTTAACATTTCAACGTCCTTGCAGTTCGGAAATGTAAGGATAAATAACAGATCAGTGGAAGCGAAACCGTGTCTCGCTGTGGTGAAAATATTTGTTTCCATTTGCACTAGCAGTTTAGCTGCACTCTTAATCCTGAGAGTGAACCGTCTGGGCTGTGAGATGTTACAATGTCAAAGTTTACCGCAGTCTGTCGGAAATTTTCCCCTTTTAAATAGTGCTAAAGTTAGCTTAGTGGGGACAAAATAACGTTTGGATTTTTTTACACACTGTTTCCAGCTTCTATTATTAATACGTGTGTTTCTGCTTAATGGTTTTACAGATACAGTAGATGAATTTGAAGATAGTATTACACAAAAGAAGATGAAAATTCCCAAGATGTCCATCAGGAATTCAGGAAAGTCTATCGAGAATAATTTTGGAGAGGAGAGATTACCACTGAGGCATAAAAAGGTAGGCTGAACACCTGTTTTTGTAAAATACTAACTCATTTATAACAGAAAATACAAACTACTCCTTATTGAAAAAAATCACAGTCTTATTGTCCTTTAATCACACACTTGTAAATCTAATCTAAACCTTAAAATCATGCATCCTTTACCAAGTAGTGGCCCATTTAATAGTTATTATAGGGCTGATGTTTAACTGTGTATTTTCCTTGCCATGTATACACCTCTTGTCTTATTTCCGTTAGTTGTCCTTTCATGATTTAATATCACCTTTTCATAAAGTTGGCTGACTTCCAAAATCCCCTTCGCTATTTTTACCATATGCTGGATTAACACAAATTCAGCACTCTGGACAGCTGCCCTTTCACCGGCAAATCCGCTGAGCAGCTCATCAGAGAACTCTATGACTCCTATCCTCTGGTCTTACTGAGATGTGCACGGTCAAACAAATTGATTGTAGTCACTGCCATATCCCTGCATAGATTGAATGTTTTTTTTTTTTGGTTGCTTTTTTTTTTTTTTTTTTTTTTTTTTTTTAGTTTTTAAATCCTCTTAAGTAAAAATTATTAAACATATTTTTGGAAAATCAATAAAAAAAAAATAGTTGAATGCCCTTATGCCATGGCCGATAACTAGAATAGTTGTCAGTGTGTAGGAAATATTATATTTACATTGTTTTATTGGCTAATACTATTTAACAAATGTTGTTAATCTAATATGTTTGTGGTATTTTGGAAAAGACAAAATTGATGTTCTCATTTACTTTCTGGTATTGTTTCGCTAACTGCTAAGAAACTTCTTGGAACATAGCTTCTTGAATTCTATACTTCATTCCCAGTTGTTTTGTGACTTATTTCCTGATGCAGAAATGTATATTTAAGTCAGTGTGTGCTATATTGCAACAGTATTTGGAAGGCTAGAAAGCTTAAGTCCAATGCATTCCAACAATATAGTAACAACTTGGTTTGACTTTCACTTTCCAGACCTGATTCACAGTTTGGTCACTAGAATGCTTAAGCACATGGAGAGAGGTGTGGACATCACGATGATGGAAAAGGATGAAAATCTGGGTTAATCGTAATTGATAATAGGCCTGGATGATTAGTCAGTTTCTATTGATTAATCAAATATTTTGTTTATGAAGATTAAAGTTCTGAAAAATGTGGATTTCTTTTTCATCAATACACCCTTCGGGCCTCCATAGCTCAGGGATACATCAGTTCTTCACTTTTGGTTCTTGGATGTCTCCTCATATGATACACTGTGTGATACTATTAGCTGCAAACATTTACTGTGTTTTTCGTTACCATTTAAAATTTAAAATTAAGGTTACCTCCCAGAAGGGATTAATGAAATTGAAGCTGCTTCTGATAGCAATATAAGATATTTTTAGTAAAAACATAACTGAAAAAAATCGATTAATTGGATTTGGTAGGGGAAAAAAGCATAAATTAAGACTTTTAAATCATATGCCCAGCCCTAATTGAAACTTTCCTCAAAAACATACACCATTCAATTGTAATTTCAGTTTTTTGGGTGTTTTTTTTTTTTTTAGAAACCATGCCATGCCATCCTTATATTAGAGGACATATATGCCAATATCTGTTTGCAGTGTTGTTTTTTTCAACGATGTGATGAAAAAATTATTTCTTTGACATTCCTTTTTTTTCATGAGGTTTAAAAAAAACCCCGATGAGCTAAACGTGGATCTTTGATGACTAAAACATAACTATTCCTAGGTTTGAATTTTAGTCGACGACATGAGACTACATAAAAATTAGCGGATGGTCGGCAAGACATTTAAACTGCATTATTGTGCTGTGATTTGCTAAGCAGTATCAGCCATGCTACTGCGTCTTGTTAGATCCTGCCGCCCATCGGGCGTGCAGCATTGCACATTCTGCATGACCACAGATAAATAATGGCAGCAGCGGCAGGGTCTGTGAAAATAACCCGGAATCATTCTGGTACTGCACACTCAACACTGACAAACTCTGTTCTTCTAGCTGTATTTTTGCAGAAATGCGTCTTTGCACGCTTAGCTCTGAGTTTTTGCTTCACGTTCCTCTCTGATGTTTCACTCTCGGCAGTATGACTATTCCTGCTCTCGCTACTTAATAATCTATCTGGCTGATCATCCTCTACCAAGCATAAAAAAATCCCTTTACTATCAATATTTTATTTTTGCTGCTTATGAAACGTGATACTAATCCTTCTTTAATTTCTACCAAAAGGAATCCCTAAGTTATATCCAAAAAAATATTTCATTGCATACTGTTTATTTTTGGATAAAGAGCCAGGTGAAAAGGTACATAGATCTTTGAATATTTCTCTCTCATTGTTCTCGTTTCCATCTATTTAAATATGATATTAATGTTTCCTTGTTTCCTCTGGATTGGCATGGCATTACAAGGCAATTGTGTAGGTTCTCTCTGATTCACAGGGTTTTTAATCAAAACCCTGTGAATTGAAATCTACTTTGACCCCTGAGCAGCAGTAACCAAGGGGTAAAAAGAAATAAAGCCAAAATTGCCAAAGTAGGAAGAATAATGTTTTGGTTCTTTGCCTTTTTGGATAATGAAGATTTTATTGATCTGTGTGTAATGCATAATTCATAGCAGATCAGGAAGTGTTTGCTTTGAGTTGGAAACCTTGTTTGTCCAAAACCGTTCCTTTATTGTACAATTGTTAGCTTGTCTGTCTGCTGTATTAACCAATATGATGTGTTGAATTAGATCTGCTATTTTCACAACTTTTGTGAGACTTTTTTATGAAGTGGGGCATTAATAAAAAGAAAAAAGCTTATTTAATCAAAGTTTTCTGCCCAACAGCGATGATTAACTGCATGGCGGCATTCTATACCCAGCAATTGTATTATCTAGGCAAGAGCTGTCAGTCTGGTAAAGAATCTGGTTGTTATTCAAAATGGTAAAGGTTCACTTTTTTGCGACACTACTAAAATTAGACTAAAACCTTTTTAAGACTAAAACTATCACATATCATAATGACTGAAATGGGACTAAGACTAATAATGGTTTTCGTCCTGAAGACGCAATCGCAGCAATCTAAGATGGCTGTCAAAAACAACACTGTCTGTTTGAGAGTTAGAACTGCAATTGTCAGCATGATTTCTTTTATGGTCATAGCTTTGTTGTCATGCATCTGCCCAAAGCCTTTCCTAACATGTCATTTTGTTTAGGCCCTGTCTCATGACCATGGGAAGCCTCTCTCTAACTCCTCTAAGAGCCTTGCAGCAGTAGTGGCTCGCCTTGAGAGAAATGCAGCCAACTCTTATATGGAAGGTGAGGAGGACTTGGATGAGGACCGGTTGGCGGAGGAGGGAGAGGATGCAGATGATGAAGAGGAAGAAATGGAGGCAGAGCACGGGCAACGTCATCATCATCAGCAGCAACATTTGGAGGTGGACACGCATTGTGTGTCAGAGGTCGTGGCGGCCGTTGTTCCAAGGGTTTTGTATGAGGAGCTGGTTCACAGCTACAGGCAACAGGAGGAGGAGATGAGGAGACTGCAGCAGGAGCTGGAGAGAACCCGCAGACAGCTGGTGCAGCAGGCCAAGAAGCTAAAAGAATACGGCAGCTTGCTGACAGAAGTTAAAGAACTGAGAGACTTCAACAGGAGGCTGCAGGATGTACTCCTCATGAGACTGGGCAGCGGTGAGAGAACAGGAGAATGCACTCCAACACACAACCCTCTGCAACCTGTGGTACTCAGATGATTTATGACCTTATCAGTAAAGTTACAGTTATTTATACCAAAGCAATTAAATTGAATTGTGAATTATTGTCAATCAAACTCAGAGAATTATATTGCTAGAATTTTTTTTTTGATTGATTAAAGTATTTGGAGTTGAGTTGTTCTAGAAGTTTGCTGATAAAAGTCAAATTAGGGGACTTACAAATTGATGCTTTCGATGCACAAAGAGGAGGAGAACATTAGCAAGTTATTCATAAAGGACCAGAAGAAAATGGCCTTTTAAAAGAAATAATGATATCAGAATAGGGGCTTTTTTTCAGTGATTATAATTAGAATCTTTTTGTGTGCTCGTATCTCTGCATCATTTTTAAATTTTCTTGACCCATCTACCATCAACACAGATGCAGGACATACAGTTAAGCTCAAAATTATTTATGCCCAAAGAAAGTTTTCTTTTATTTGAACAGAAAGAAATCCCTGCAAGAAATACCACGGCAAACTGCCGAAGGTGACAAACTGCAGAGCTTTCAGATAAAAGCTTATATTGGCTCATGCAAAAATAAATGGGCGTATTCAGAGATCAGTCTGTTAGATAAACACGTTTACAGAGACTGTCAAAATACATAAAAAATAATCGATTAAGATTTTTATTGAGGCTTATATTTTAGAACAACAAAAATATCTTCATTATTTCTGTGAATCAACTATTTGCTACAGAACATTCATAAGGAATACTCTAGTTATCAAGCTGGGACTTCAGCAATATGATTCTTTCAGCTGGATTGGGTGTAACATTTGGCTGATGGTAAAAAATAAATTAAAAGACAGATTCCTCCTTGATTCTGTGTTTTATACTAATTAAGTCATTTAAAACTAGTGGAATATTGGGATATTTCACCCAAATAATTTTAACAAAAGCCTAAGAATGTCAAAAAGTCATGTCCAAACTTGAACCTCAGCAAACATAAATTTTTAAATGCAAATAAAGGAGCCTAAATGCTGGTTAGTTCATCTAATGGACCGACTAGAGATTAGAGCACCCTGGGAGTCCATCAGTCTGGGAATAGAGTGCATCGCTGACCGATATTAAAACTCATCAGCTGCACTAGAGCTTAGTGTGGCCAGCTACCAGAACAGCTTAGTTACTGTCGCAGGCCATGGGGAAGCCCTGACCTAAAGCAGGGAACAAACATACCATTGACACTGTTCCAGGATATAAAAAACAAACAACTTAAACAGAGTTTGTATGTTTATATTTAACGATTGTACGAGCATCGGTAAATGGCTGATTCAGTGGGAGATGAGGGTCCAGTTACTGTCTCTGTAATGTTGAATGTCACCTTTGTCTCCTAGAGCCTATGCATGACAATGGCACTCAGACAATCAAGGCTGAAGTGGTGGAACCTATAGTTGAGGCCCAGGAGACATGCAGGGAAGAAGCAAACACAAGTTCAAGTTACTCACCCTCACCCAGAACCGTGTACACCTGCAATGATGGGAAGGTGAGTCTAACTGGGCTTAACATTTTACTCAGAACTGGAATCTATTACATTGGTGCCCATTTTAAAATGTTTACTTTTAATTTTAATGATGAGTTAACTGCTCCTCTAATAGGCTTTTTGCATTTTCTCACTTTAGTTTTTCAGAAGTTCTTTTCTTTGATCTTTATGATATAAAACAGAATTAAGCAGAATGAAAAGTGAATCTTCTTAACAACACTTATGATATGGAACCAGTAAGATGTTCCTGAATCAGATTTTGAAGTTATTTATTCTTTGATATATTCGATTTCTTATTAAATAAGAGGACTACAATGTCTTTAATATAAAACGGAAACTGCGTAAATCAGATATTTAAACTATGGTTAAGCAAACATGTCATGAAAGGACTTTTTATTCACAAACATTAATATGTTATAATTGTAATATAGTTTAGATGTTTGCATATTTTTATTCTTCATCATTACCAATTAAACCCAGTGATGTACTGCAACCAAATTGACAATAAATAGATAAATAGTGATAAATAAATAATAATTTAAGTAATACAGAAAAAATATTAAACAAATATGTATTTTATAGTTTGGTAAAGTTGACATTTTCCTGTTTGACACTGTGGCTTCTTCAATTGTTAAATATTTAAATAATCATAAATAAAGGTATTTTCAGTTTTATGTTTTTATTTCAGTTAAGAGACCCCCATATAAATGAACCCAACTATAGCAAGCCCTAAAATCTTTCACCTCCTGAATTAGTAATCCTGGCCATTTTCTTGTGCGTGACCATCGAAAGAGGCCTGATTTTTGTAGGAAACACTGCATTTCCTGTTAACAACCATAAACAGTGAAACAGGCTGTCATGGCTGATCAGTTCTTTCCCTTTTGCTGCCCTGTCCTAGCAGGTAAACAAGGTTGAGAAGATTATTATTGTTCCTGTAAGCCCAGCCAGCATCATCAGTGTTTATTAGCCTGTTGGGGTTCTTTGCTTCCCCCACAGCTGTAACTCAACCAGCCGCCCCGTCTCAGATGATGGGGGGATTGGTGCTTCAAGCTCTTGGGCCTGTGGCCACTTCAAGCGTGAAGAACACTTGCAAATTAGAACGCTCCTACATCTGGGAACCATATTAATTATTTGCACGAGAAGAATTTAAAGTGACTGACAGGTTAGGCCTTCAGAGAGTGCAAGGGGAGGTTAGGAAAGGAGGTAGGGGAGATGGTGAGAAAAAGATAAAGAGAGGAAAAAGGGCTGGATGGATGAATACAGCCTTGTCTAACTTAAGGCCAGTAGAAAGCTTGTCTGCTGGCTTGAAGCCTAAAGCACATAAACTGCACAGGGAAAAGCTTTTTGGATGCTAGCCTAAAGACTTTACGGTGATAAGAGAATAGAGAAGGAAAACAGAGACGCATTTGCCCCCTGTTGCATTAGCTTACCTTTAAGACCAGGTCTGTCCTCATTGCCAGGGAATCAGCTTTGACTGTTTTGCAGCGGTTTATGTAATATACTCTCACATTATGCAGAAAGCTGTAGGGTGAGGTATAATGTAGGCAATCAAAGCTAAAACCTGTGACCCGAGTTTCTTTAGTGGTCAAAGCAGGTAAAATAAGCTTCTCTTTAAACTATATTTCCAAAGAGATAGCTTGCCCTTAGTAACATCTGTGCTGGAAAAATCAAGTAGCAGAACCCTTTTAAGCACTTAGTGTTGAACCAATATTGTTGTGCACCATTTCAAAATAAAGTTAAATGTATGGTTTAAGAAATAGAAATCATCAGGGGGAAAATGTCTGACTCCAGGTTTGCTTCAGTCCACACTCTATTTCTTCTGCACATCATGGTGATGCTACATGAAAAAAAAGATTCAAATGTGAAATTGTGAAAATTGTGAAATTCTCTTAAAATGGATTTAATGTACGAAAGTCAACAATGATGTTAAAACACCAATTGGATCATGTTTTATGTATCTGCTCTATACCAGAGGTCAGCACTCTTTACAGTCCATAGAGAGGTTTTCTCTTGACCTAACTTTATCTGGAGCTACAAGATCTATTTGACCTTTGCACACACACATACATATATATATAAAGTTTTATAATAAATATAAACAGAGCAAAATGTTGACATTTTATGGAACCTAAGGCCTGATGCACGAAGCGAGCTCAACAGGATTACGTCCAGCCTATCCAGTTTAACCAATCCACAACAATGGCAATCAGGATCAGCGGTAGTGAAAATGGTGAAAGTCCTCAACCGCAGCCATAAATGTAGATAAATACCTTAACTTTTTTTTTCTACTTAAATGAAAACTCGTAGCATTTCACTTTCAGTCTCCTACAGACTCTTTGCTCTACATGATCAATGTTCTATTTCACAGAAACATTACAGCCATCTTCTTAGGTTTTTTTTTTAACCTGGTGATTTACTATTAATCCCTCATCGGTGCAGCTTCAGTATAACATTTCCCCTTCTCATTTATCCTGATACAGCAAACAAGAAAAATGATATACGGATGGATATATAGAGATATGTATCTGCCAACAATTTATAAAAGCCTGATTTGTCATAATGCATTGATTATGAAATTCACAGAAATCCAGGTAATGACTTACCTACAATGGCATAAATCCCTCTTTTATACAGTGTAATGCTACATTCACACTGGACGCAGCAGAAGCAGCGAGTTTATGCAAAGTCAATGGTTGATGCACGTCAAGGAGCAGCAAAAGGTCAAAGGTCCCGCAGTGCGTTTTGAGCAGCTGAAGCAGCGCGTTGGGAGCGTTTAAGCATCTGACGCGTCAGAACTAAACTGGTACAAGCAGCAAAAATTAAGCAGCAGACGCGATTTTGCTGGGCCTGCCGCGTCCGGTGTGAACGTAGCATAAAGCCAACACGTTCTAGGATCTGGCATATATATCCCAGTCCAGCCTGTAAAAAGCTGTATCACTCATATTGTCATAGTGAGCCAAATGATTTTCTCACAATTTGTGCTTTGATTTTTATTTTCTTATATAGATGTTAGTTTTTTTTTTTTATTTAGCTTAATATAACATTTATATGATAAACAAGTGAATGCCAGTGGTGTATGAGGACAATATACATGAGAAAACAAATACAGAATAGTAAAAGCTTGGCGGGTCAAAAAGTATGGAGGACCTTTATTTAAAAATAAATACAGAAAAAAAAAAAGCTCAATAAATAAATAAGCTTACAATTAATTGCCCCCCAAAATACAATAAACAAATAAATGTAGGTAGAAATTAAATTATACAGTGAGACAAAAATGTATATAGCTCTTGTAATTAGCTACTTTATTTATTCGCCCTTGTAATAATTACCTCATGTAGGTATTGTCCATTTTAATCTTCTACTTTATTTATCTGTTACTTATATTTTAAGTATTGCATGTGATATTTTTGTCTGTTTTATTCTTCCCTTGTATTTTTTTTACCCTGTTTATTTCTTCCATGCTAATTATTTCTGCCTGTCGTTTTTAAATTTCTGTCTGCATTTCTGCATCATTATGCAAATGAGGAAGGGGTGTGTCTTAGAGAGTCAACTTCTGCCCATTGGTTGGCGGCCCATCTTCTTCACTCACAGAGCTCAGAGCCAATAAATTGAAAACTGATTAATGTTTAAAACATTAATATTTCTGTTACTATATCTCTTGGAAATTTCTAAGACTAGCCTTTGCTTTCACTTTATTTCATAAAGACAGTTCATATTATCCTGGATCAGTTAATTAGAGCCCACAGAGTCAACGGATGATATAAGTTAAGTAGATGTTTTGGTTAAGTGAGTTTTATTTAATAAGGACTCAACCAAATACACATCAAAACACATATATGATGTAATTAGTGAATTGCATATAGTCAAGTTAAAGTTCATTTAAGATTATTTAAGATAATTAATGGTAACCCTACGAAGTAGCTGACTTGCAATGGTTTCTATTACATGGATGCAAACTGCTTTGTTTGAGGTTACTAGAATGAAAGTAGGAAGGGAGGAAATGACAATACTGTCTGATTGAAATATGGATCCAAAATGGCAAAGAAGGCTGATTTAAAACAACCTTTATGAGGCTGCTGCAGTATAAGCTTAGTGACATCCCATTTCTGGACAGAGGTCTGAGAGATTAACGTCACTGTGACCTTTGTTATGCAAGAAAATATTCTTGAGACTGCCTGTTTTGAATAGAGTGAATGTATAAAAGATATTTTATGGTGAGATGGTATTTCAGCCTACGTTATATGGCATGGAGATCTAATGGAAAGGAAAAGTGCAGATTTTATTGTAGGTGGTGAATACATTTAATATTTGGTGTCTTGAACATGAGAAGCATTTCATAAAATGAAGTTACTGACACCGAGTAGAACAGTATCAGAGTGGATTTAACTGAGACCAAAGTTTCAACATCAGTTCAGACTCTGCTCTCTAGGATTCATCTGGGCTGATGACTCTTGGAGGGATTAGTGCCACTCTAAGAATTGCAGACGAGTGTTGGGCCAACAACAGGACAACAAACTCATCACCTCTGCTGCACTGATCCATTGAGTAATTCATTGTGTAATTCTGCTACCTGAGCTGATACCAAACCACGTTGGTCACCTATAGGACCTTCTTTTCTTTTTTAGTCTGAGGAGATGCCTTTACCTAAAGTTTCTAAACATATATGATATGTTAACAGCTTTTACACATGTGCAGAATTCTGTCTATTTTAAGCAACAGGGAATCAGTTTCCCTTCTAAAGTGAGTGGGGCAACAAAATAAAAATAACTACAACTTCATAAGAAGTGTGGTTTTTGGATCATTTGGCTTTCATGCACTGCAGCCTGGCATTATAACATCCTGCTAGAATGATATTTAGTTTAAAGTGCCTTCAAAAGTGTTTGAACCCTTCAAGCTTCTGCATATTTGTTTATCATATACCTTTTTCATGATTTTATGATATATATATTGATACATTGTTAACAAGTACTTTGCAAATAAAAGTCAAATTTTATTTATTTGTGTTTAATCAATAGTTTGCAAGACATTTTTTCTCTTGAAGCACATATCTTTTTTTCTTTACAGAAAAGATCAAGTTGGCTGTAATGTGGGTGTGAACACTGTAAACCAGTGGTTCCCTGGAGTAAAAGATATATTGTTAATTAGAGATGTCCCGATCCAGGTTTTTGCACTTCCGATCCGATACCGATATTGTTTTTGGACTTCCGATCCGATACCGATACTGGCCGATACCAGCCTATCCGAGCATGTATTTAAGTTTAAGTTAAAGTATTTAGCCTTAGTTGTAAGACTCATGTTGAAAAGGGTTTTAGTACTCTTGATAACATCTAGCCAGCTAAATTAGGTGAGATTGAATAAAACACAATGCTTGGTAACAACAAACTTACCTGTTTATTAAGAGATAAACACAAACTGGACAAAATTATGAATAGCAATCTGAAATTGCACAGTGAACAGTAAAACCGTAAACAGTTAAAGGTGCAAGTATTACTGTAGGTTTTAATAAAAATGCAAAACAGGGAAACACTGGCGCAAAATAGTGGAATGGATCGTTTCAATCAGCGAAACTGGAAAATACGGACCGGATTTTTTTTTAAAAACTGGATCGGCATTTTACATGCTTTGCCGATACGCATTTTTTTGCCAAAATCGGCGTCCCGATCAGATACGTGGATCGGATCGGGACAAGCCTATTGTTAATCCTTTACCTCTTTTTTGTTTTGTATCTCCTATAAACCTAAAAACAAATATTGAATGACTTCAGTAGACTGACTTTGTGCTGGTTACAACACACATTCTCAATGTGCTTGAAACTGCTCATACAAACTTTCATTCAGTGCCTCTTTAAACCCCCCTATTTCATTTGTTGTCTGAAGGTACATCTTGGTGGTGGAATCTGGGTGGAGGAAGAGAAATGGCACCAGCTTCAGAGGACACAGGGAGACTCCAAGTTCACAAAGAACCTCGCTGTGATGATCTGGGGAACTGAAACCCTTAAAAACCGTAGTGTCACAGGAGTTGCCACCAAAAAGAAGAAAGACGCTCTGCCCAAGCCTCCACTGTCACCCAGCAAACTGAAAATTGTAAGAGGTAAGCTAAATTAAAGTCATGACTTCAAAGCTCCTAAAGAAGATGGTTAGGCTTAAAAACTAGAGGTACATAAATAAAATAGTTTATTTACAAATACCTATGTAGCAGAAATCAAAATAAGATAAGCAGCTCCTCATCTGATGCTCTGACTCTCATAACTTGATCCTCCTCAGAGTGTCTCTACGACAGAGTGTCTCAAGAAACAGCCGACAGCGCTGAGATCACGCAAAGATTGTCCAAAGTGAACAAATATATCTGTGAAAAGATTATGGACATCAACAAGTCCATCAAGAATGAGGAGCGGCGGGAGTCAAAGCTGCTAATCAGACAGACGGTCAAGATGGAGAACTTCACCTATGATGGCATATAGTGATCAACTGTCACGTCAGCGCCTTCTGCCCCGCGTGGCCTGCAGCATATTTAGGGGACTTGGTACTGGTGGGTTGGGGAACGGGGTCACTGTTCTAGAAGCGGTCACATTTCTTTCACACAGGTCCCATCCCACCTTCCTTTAGGGCCAGCGTCACATTTATCATTTCTTTCATTGGCTGCCAGACAGCTTTACCCACCAGTACATAAAAAAGTTGGATATGAGCTAGAGTGAGTGTTTTATAAGCTTTACCAATGCATGGGTACAGAAATGTGTGCATATGTGTCAAAAGAGATTAGATATGATGCTGATTTATGTTCTGTGTCAGAACATCCTTTCCAGTCCTGGAACTTTTAAAAAGTAAGAGGTGATTCCTGTAGGTAGGTCTTCTGATGCTGTATAATCGACCATGCTAGCTAATGTTGGGTCTTAGACTGTTGGTGGTTTGACTGTTGGTACTAATTGCGTTGAATGGGACGTCAGGGTCTTGAATGCACAAGTCTTAATTATTAACAGCCATATATGATGGGTTGCTCCAAGAGATTATCTTTGAATGTGTGCTGTCTGTCAACTCCTTAACACATCTGCCCATGAGGGGGCCTAGTGAGGGTTGGAAAGAATGACTCCAAATTATGAGTCAGTTATGCTTTAGTTGATGTGTTTTATGTATTTATTTTTTTAGTGATCCTATCAACCATTAATGTAAGAACCCATAAAAGGATGATACAAATCCCAATTTCCTGAGGACTATAAGTTAGAAATGAATAAACATTGAACTGCAGGTTCTTTGATAGACATGATTGTTTTGAATCTGATATAAAATGAAGCAATTATTAGATCTATGTCCCTAGCCTGTATCTAATAAAAAAAAAAGTCAGATTGATAGATTTAAAGACCAATACTAGGGGGTCTTAGTCTTGGTGCATTTAATGAGTAGGTAGAAAAATCTGATTTTTCAGTCTTGGACCATGGAAATGCATAAAAAGTTATCAGTTCTGTTTCACAGCTAATGGAATTGAGCTTCTCTGATCTAATTGAATTAGTCTCAGTCTTAGTCATTTAAATAAACTTAACTATAGAGCTGTTACTGGCATGTTGATGCCTTTAAAAAGGCCTAAAATGGATTTGGCAATCTCCTGGGACATAATGTATCTTACAAGAGTACATTCCTTCCATATTTTTAAAAGCTTTATTATATATCTTTTATGAAAAGATATGTTGAGACATAAAAAAAAAGGTTTGTGCTCACTTTTGTCAGATACGGTGTTCGTCCTTTTTTCTTTTTTTTCATTTTAGGAAGCTGTGATTGTAAATGTTGTAAGCTGAAGTGATGAAACTTCATCTGCACTTTGCTGGGTAAATGTAAAATGTGGCCAGGTACTATTTTAATGTGTGGTTTGCCCCATTCGATACATATAAACAGAACTAGCATAGAGGTGAAAATCAGCTCTTTATGTCCAGCTCATCTTGCTGTTAAAGCATTGTTAGTAGTGGGTAAAGCTGTCTGTCGCACTATTTTTCTTTCCTTTTCTAAAGGTTGTTTGCCCCTGCTGAACCTCATCCAAACCCTCTCTTCTTTTAGTCACACCACTGGGGAAAATAGTAAGGTTGCTCCAGTGACAATTTCCTCCGAGCTATGCCATCAAAAGTTTTAAAATGGTCTTTCATCTTTTATGGGGTTTTTTTTTGTTGTTTTTTTGTTGTTGTTTTTTTTTTATATATATATATATATAGGATTTCTCTCTACTGTTATATTGTTTTGATCTGAAACGGTTTGTGTGGCTGTCTGCAGGCTGGAACTAAACGCTGCAGATTGAAATCTCGACTGTGACCTAGCTGTGGCTAACTGTGAATCTGCTGTAGAGCTGCCCATCAAACCTCTCCTTCTTCTCTCTTGTAATTCCTGGATGTGTCAGTTTATATTTCCCCATTTTCTTTTGTTTGCTTGACTTGGTTTATGTCATACCAGAACTTCATAGCAGCCTTTCGTTAAGCTATGTTTCTTGTTCTGAGATAGCATTGAAAGAAATACGCATATTTGTCCAGAAAGTTGGTGACATAACTGGGTTTGTCAGATCAGTTTCAAGTTATGAATCTGCTAATTTCCTGCAGTGTTTTCCATATTATGTGAGTTCCTTTTATTTCTTATCCAAGCTCTTTCCTTTTTTTTTTCTTTTTTTTTTTGTGTGTTTTTAATAACTTTTATGAACTGTTGGCTTTAAGCTACATACTCATTAGTTGAGTTTACAAACAGTAATTTAATCCACCTCACTCTTAGCCAAAGTTATCCCACAGGAATAAGATGGAGAAAGAGTTTCCTTTACTGTCTTCAGCCTGTATATTGCAATCTCAACACATGATATTTGGTTAACCTTACTTTAAAATCATTCAAAATCTATAATCTTAAACCGTTGGGCTCTTATTTAGATGCAGTAATGATCAATTCATATCTATTACATCAAATGCACTTTAAATTTTTCTGCAATTTCTTCTGTTTTAAACAGTTGTTTGTTGCAATAGTTCTTATAGATTATAGGGCCATGTTGTCATTTTATTTTTTTTCTTCATGAAGCACCTTATGATGTTTTGATTTATATTTTTTTTATTATTAATATTAGAACAACACATAGTTATTTGAATGCCTCTGACAAGCTAGTCCCATTATAAGCTTGGTAAGTTTAATATATAAGACTTATGTCTGCAGATTGTTAAAAAGTAACATAAAGAAACTGGAATTTACCACTTTATTATTGCCTCCCGGACATTCATCTGCCACCTTAGCAAACTGGAAAGCAACAAACAGTTCAGTTTAAAAAAAATGGAATAACCAGTTTAAAGACTTTACCTCTGAAAATGTTTAAGATGACTGGAAATTCCGTTTTAGTTGAAACCTCTAGAATTCAAATGGAGTATTTTTTTTAACAAATGAGTTTTAACTGTGAGGATGAAATGATAAAGCTGAAAAAATGTTGGATGCAGACTGAGGAATCCGCTGGGGTTGCACAAAGAAATGGCCAATGCAAAAGTATTGGAGCGTCATGAATAACAAAAGTCACCTAAATGTGATGATAATGTCATTTTTTTTCTTTGTAAACCGGTCCCCTTGTTTTTCTTTTTCTTTTTTAATTCTCTGTACAAAGATAAAGCCCACATGTTCGAGCATGTATTGCAATTTGAAAGAAAAAAAAAAAAGCTTTCTGCTGTGCAAAGCCACGTTACTGAAATTCAGATGCATTGTTGTTTATTGTTTATGGGGTTTTTATTCTTTTTTGGTGTTCGATGCCAAAAGGGTGTGGTGGTGGTGATGCTTAAAGAGAGCATTTATACAGCCATTACATCATCGTGTTGAAAGGCTGGTTTCCTAGAGTGAGACTGAGACCTATAATCCCTTAACTAAAACCATCTTCACTAAATGAAAGCTGTGCTGTCGCAGATTTAGCCTAATCTGCGACTACAGACGGAGCCGATCTATCAAGACGGTTGCAGGAGTTTTGGCAGCCAATTCGTGTAAATGAAAACTTGGGATAGTGTGCAAGTCTGGCTCAGTTACACCACACCACAGCAGTAACCATGGATGAACCCCGCCGGATATGATCCTCTTCTTGTGCCACTTCGTGATCCTTACTCTCCTGCTTTATGGCTTACGCTTTAAATACCTGTTAAAGTTCCACGGGACAATGGAGCTTTTTTTTTTTCTTACATTTTCAGTTTGACTGAAACAAGATGTTGAACAAGGTGGATACCATGTAGTTTTCAGAGCCATTCTATGTACCAGACGCATTACTGTTTAAGTCTCAGACACATTGTAAAAAAAAAAAAAAAAAAAAAAAAAAAAAAGGAGATGTACAATGTTAGGCATATATTTTTCTTAAAAATATCAGTAACTTTGTATACAATCCACAAACCTGGTTCTACTTCATCCAACTTCACCTTCCTACCTCATTGTTACTCTGGTGTTTGTCCGTTAATGTAAACTATATGTGTGTATAATATAAAGGAAATTATAGGAAACGGTAAAACTGACAGCTCTCAACATGTACAGCATATAAAGCACCTCAATACACAAAAATCATTCTTAAGCTAAATCAGTTTTCTTATCTGCTTAAAGATGCTGCTGTAAAGGGGATTACTGTGTGAGGGGGTTGTCTGAATATATGAATATATATCTTCGCTCTTTGCTATATTGTGCAGTTGATCAATTGCTGTGTTCTGTCTCTGTATTGCAATCTGAGATTTTTACTGGTTGACGGTGCTACCAGCATACGGTTTGAGAGAAAAAAAAAACTGATCTACCGGACCTCAAATGGTGCTGTTTTTCTATGTTTTTAATCGTCATACAGCTCTGTGTTATTCAGGTGTGTTAACCGCCGCTATCCCCTCAACTAATCAAAACCCTGAAGCCAAAATGTTTTCCGCAAGGCCTGCTATTACAGATTTGAAAATATATGCTATCCATCCAAATATTGTAGATAATGATTATACTCTGTTTCAGAAGTACCTCAGAAGTTGGTGATTTTAAAGTGCGTGCATCTGCTTCTTTTAATGTGTTTTCAGAAATATGCATTCTTTTACTGCTTAGATCAGGTTTTCAAATCAGATGGTACATGGTTAAGGGAGCAGTGTGAACTTACGCAGAGCCATATTCCATTTGGTTTGACCTTGCTTTGTAGATCAGGGTCCATTTGTAGTCCAGGTTAATACCACACCCATATCAGCAGATATTAGGAATGTGTGAAATAAAAGGAATACGGGGCTTTCTTAAACTTGCTTACTCAGTTGAATCAGTTTATTTTCCTCTTGGTATTTTCTGTGCGTCTCTGTAAATGCTATCCTTCAGTTTTATATCTGGGTTTTGTTTTCGCAGGAAGTGCATTGCATCCTTTCATATCCTGTCCCCTAGCCCCTACGCTTCAGTATTTGTTTTCTGCACCTCTGTGTGAGACACGTTAGTAGGTGTTCTCTTTCTGTCTTCTTAAACCCAACTTTTGTCATACTGACGCCTCTCTACTGTGAGTAATGTGTGTTTAGACACAGCAGCTGGTTTTTGAGGAAGCACTTTTAAGCCATTTTTTGAACTGTTTTTGTAACAGTTAGCTGTGAGCATTTCTCCGTCTGAATTGAGCCCAGAGAGTCGTGTTTGTAGATCCTATGCAGGTGTAGAAAAACTAACCTGGTAACACGTCACTGTTGGATGGAGGGAGAACCTTAGAGATATATAGCAGGAGATAACTGTGTCTGCTCAGCCTTGAGGTTTAGTTAAACAGGACAATGGCGATATGACAAATCTGTACTTAACTATTATTATGTTTTAAGCTCTTTGAATTAAACTGAGCTAAAACAGGGCTGCTTGGTAGAAATGAATGCATTGCAGTTATAGTTGGGGAAAGACAGGGTTTCTACTTCATGGATTTTTTTTTTTTTTTGGTATAATGTGAAAAGATCTCAAGACTATTGCAGTAAACACTTCCTTTATCCTTCTGTAGCCTCCCAGTGGCAAACCACATTTACAGAAAACCTTAGAAGTATAAACGATAGAGTGTACATGTCGTCGCTAAACCAGCCACACCTCTGCTATGCGAGCAAACTCTTTGACGCTTAGCATCCTGTTCTGTGTTTTTTCTCTTGCTGCATTCAGGAACACCTGTTTAAATGTATAGATAAACAGAAATAAAACAAAACGTTTATTCTATCAGCACAAACCTGTCTTGTTTTTGTGTGTTGTTTCCTGCTGCAGAGATAAAGCTTCTTATGCTCAAAGGGTTTTAGCTTCCAGCTGTTGGTGTAACTTTGTTTCCCAGACAAATGCAGTTTTTTTCCCCTTGTTCTGGCTTTGTCCTGCTCCTGATAGAACAGAATCCGTAGATCCCAGGACCAGTGCATACACACAAGACATCCAACTCTTCATAATGACATTTTATCCTGAGATTAGTTTGAAACACATTTTTTATAAAAAGTAAAAGCCAAGCATTGAGTGCCAAACTAAAGTGTTTAGTCCTTGACCTTTTGCACGTTTTTGCATCGCTCCAGTGTATTATATTGCAATGCGATGCAACACTGTGTTGTAGATAGTTTACAAGTGGGAGGATAGGAATACTTGGATTTATCAATAAAGATTACAGGAGGCATTTGTGCTTAGTCACTTGATACCCTCTGGTATCCCAGAATAAAATTTGGTACAAAGAATATTCTTTAGAAGCAATTTAATTGTTAATAACAATTTATCTGTATGCAAATGTTTTTCTTTAAGACCAAAATATGAAAGTCTATGAAAGACTTGTGAGGATTGTTAGTGAAGAGTTCTCATTGCATATTTAATAGTTTCACATTTTAGATGTGAAATACCCAACAAAAACCCTTTGCAGGACTTGAGTTCCTATCTCCCTTAACTTATAT